GCTTGTGTAGGGATTCAAGGTACAGTTGCCAATATTTATTGACTTTTTATAAAGAAATTGGCTAAATAAACAAGGCATCTGGGGAGTACAGATGCCAGAAGGTTTTTGCCTAAGCTTGGGATTTTGAAATGGCTGTATCATGTGTTTTACAAATGCAAGGGGATAATTCTTACAAATTCTTCAGAAGTCAGCAGAAAAAGAAAAAGGAAAACCCTAACACTTCCAGAGTTGTTGGTTTTCTCCCAAGTCAAGCTTTAGCTGATTATCTGTTACACTGAAGCAAAGTAGGAGGGATTTTCATTCACATTTAACAGATGGCCAGAACAATGTTGGAAATGCAGTTTTGGGGTAAACTATGCCAGGGGATCATTTTCATTGCTGAGACTGAGCTCCAGACACTCATGCTCTTCAAACAGTGCTTAGGTTCACAAATGTATCCTGCTCTTGTCAAAAATAAAACTTAACTGGCTGTAAGGGAATTTCTATACACTCCAGCGGAGCTGCTATCTGTTAGTATTGAGTTGATCTTGAAATCCTTTCAGTGTCAATGGATCTCTAATAGAAAATTGTGTCTGATGAAGTGGACTCTGGTGCATGAAACCTTAAAAATAGAAGTGGGTGCTGTAACACTGTTGTTTGGGGAAAGAAGAGTTTCAGGGCCCTCAGATGAACTTGTTGGAAGGTAAGGTGATGATTCCATACAATTTGTGGGTCATCTCACCTTTCACCTGTGTTTTAAGGTAGTGGATTTGATTTGGTAAAACTTAAGGCTGGTTTGGAAAGCACAGAATCTCTTTGATGCTTAGTGTAATCAACTCCACAATCTCGAAATGTGGTGGTGACCATAGGATGGATTACAGCATCAAAGAGACTCTGTGCTTTCCAAACCAGCCTTTTATTTGTGTGGAGGTTTTAGAGAGCTTCTTCAACCTGTGGAATCTATTCTCCTCCGTTCTCAGGCCAAAGGAAGTGGGTGTTGTTGTTAACTGGGTGTTCTTGGTTTCTTCCAGAATGCTATCAGACAGACTCTTGTGGATCTTTATTTAATCACAACCCCTGCCCCTTATGTACAATTTTCCTCATGCCTGCATACACTCTGCTGTTGACCCTCCTGCTAAGAATTGGCCAGATTCAATACAGCACTTGGCTCCTGTGTCTTCACTACTTGTGTAGAAGGGAAACTGTATAGAACACTTACGGTATATTCTCTTTCCCACATTTAAAACACCAACACATCATCCACAGCTCGTATTGAGTTTGCTGGATCGTTTACCCCACCTCAGAATAACAAGATGGTGTCCTGAATATTTCATGTATAAAAGCTGACTGGATTGGCAGCTGGGTGATGTGATGTGATGTGATGTGATGTGATGTGATGGCATTCTCCTCCTGAAGGGAGAAGACTAGTTAGGGGACAACAGCCAGTGGCACATGGAATACACAACTCTATCCTCCAGCAGAGAAAAATGACTAGAAATGGCTCAGGAGGAACAGCTGGGGAGCTGCCACCACTCCCCAGCATCTGCCACCTAAGGCCATTGCCTCACCTAGCCTAATGGTAGGGCCCGCTCTTAGCATACCATGGCCTTTACGTCGCTTACATATCTGCCTGCCTCATCCACTATGCCAAGTATCTGCAACCTTTTCAGACCCAGGAACCATTTTCAAACTAAACATGCATTTTGGGACTCATTTCTTAATCTTTCACCATACATTTGCATAGTGGTAGTGCACCTGCTTTGACTCACCTAGGATCAGGCCATGACCCACTAGTGTGTCACAACCCACCAGCTGAACACATTCTGTGAGGGGTATAGTTTGGCCCAGATACCATTCTGAGGGACTAAATCCTGTGGCTCTTTTCATTCTGTACTTTGAGTGTAGACAGTGCATAATGCAGCTGAGAATGGCTGTGTACTGTCACAGTTCCCAGCAAAGAATATGGAGATGGGAAGCCCCCCTTCCATGCAGTTTTCAGAGAAACATGGTGATGTAAAATGTGTACATTCTCAGCATAGGAGCCAACATCAAGGGGCTATGGTCCCTTTGGCCCCCCATAAAATACTTGAGGGGGCCACCCCCCAAGTTGATGAGCATTGCCATTCGAATGGGCCATGTGCTATGTAATGTGATCAGTTGTGTGGGGTGGGTTTTCCTCCCCCCCCAAAAAAATGTTTTATTCAAGTTGGCCCCCCTGGATCTCAGTCAACACATGTGAAAAAGAGGGCTGGATCAGAACAACCAACTCAGGTGAGTTTCTCCATTTTCAAAGTTGCTGGCCTGCTGCTATTGCTTCACATGGCATACACCTTTGTGTTGTAAAAGAAAGAAAAGATGGAACCCACTGCCAGTCACAACACCAGCTGCAGCCATTACTACCTCCCCACATTCAAAAGTCATTTGATATTAATCCCCACTATCACAAGTCCCCACAGTCTCCCCTACTCACCTTTGTGGTAGAAGGAGGTTCAGACAGACACTCCCCAGCTGAATCATTATCATTTGCTTCAGAAAAGTAATGTGTTGACTATAAAAATAATTCACCTATATTTGTTTGAAATATGTGTACCACCGCATGTTCAAGTATATGAAAATGGACTGGATAGCTATCTTTAAAGAGAGAAAGTGAGATTACCAGTGTCTCTGTTTACTTAATACTTAGCTCTAATGCTGGCCTCAGTGCAATTCGTAGGACCATTGAAATCACTAGGTAAACATATTTAGTCGGCCCTTCCTGTAATTATAGTGACCTAAACCGTGCACCAAAGCATTCATCCTATTGTTATATGGAGGGAAGCTGCTCTAGGTTACACTTTGCAGAAAGAAACACAGAGTAGTCATTTTATTGTCAGGTCAGAGGTGCTGTTACAATCCCCAGTCAGAAATGCATAGGACATAAGGCATGGGTAGGCAGACTAAGGCCAATCGCCTTCTAAATCTGGCCTGAGGACGGTCCGGGAATCTGTGTGTTTTTACATGAGTAGAATGTGTCCTTTTATTTAAAATGCATCTCTGGGTTATTTGTGGGGCATAGGAATTCATTCATTCCCCCCCCCAAAAAATATACCATAGTCTGGCCCCCAACAAGGTCTGAGGGACAGTGGACCGGCCCTCTGCTGAAAATGTTTGCTGACCTTTGACATAAGGCTACACAGTGGCTTGTGTCAATGCAGCCACACCAGCATCTTGTGACTGACAGATGCTGGGAATGCATGACACCATCCCTTTTCTGCTGCCTTTCATTACATGATCCCACCCGAAAAGGAAAGGTTACAGCTAAATATCAAGCATATAAGGTTGTGCTGATATAATTTTTTTTTATTGGCTCACCTTTGATATCTGCCAAGTAATCTGTGAGTCTGCATTTAAATGCAGGAGAAATTCAGTAAATGGCAAGCATTATAGGACAGCTTTCTATTAACTTGATATGCCCCACTTTTCACATTGAATGGCTTCTGACTGCTGTTATGGCAATATAACTGTCAAAGTCAATAATTCTAGAAATAAACCATCTCCATAGCTCTATTTTCAAACTAGAAGTTCCCATTTCTCTATATTGATCTGTTGTACATGTAGAATATTGGAATAATTTTATTGTATTATATTATATTGAATGTAGCAGTATCTTGTCTAAATATTGCGACATTGTGACAGTTGTGACATTGCAATCCAGTTGTTGCAAGCCACCTTGACTGGTGTGTCTATCAAATAAATAAATATTTTTCCTTGCATCTATTTGTAATTATGAAGTAATATTCAGGATATCGATCTGATTTAGATAAATATTTATGCGTTTGGAAAGAGATCCAGACATTTTTTTAAAATGTTAAAGCAGTCGCATTTTTAAGTATCACAACATCATTGCATTTCTATAACTTTTTAGACTGGAAGTTGTGTGATTGACTTATTATTGGGAGCTGGGAATAATGGTTTGTCATTAAGTGGAACAGGTGGTGATCATTTGGCTGGAGGCACATTGCTGCCAAGCTGGTGAATGTGCTAAGGCAAAGAACTCCAAAAGCAGAAGGGGGGCTGTGGATCAGCCGTAGAGCACATGTTCTATATGCACAAGAGAGCCACTGACCATGTAAACAGTACAGAATCAGATGGTCCAACTTGGTTTAATGCAGCTCCTACATCTGTTTGGGTGATCTATTATACCACCAAACTTATATCAGTTAACAGCAAAGACCTTTCCCAAAGAATCTTGCAAATTTTAGTTTAGTGAAAGGACTGAGAGTTCTTGAGCATCTCTGTGTCACCCCAAACTATGTTTTCCAGGAAGAGGGTATGACTGCTCCAACCGGTTTAAGTCCACAGTGCAGATAACCTTGAGGTGTTATGGCCTTGGATATATAGAGCTTATGTAACAAGTATATGAGGGGGAAAGCTTATCTAGGCTTGCAGATGTCAACAGGGCATTGAGAGGAAATCTCTAGTGGTTAGTGTGTTGTCACAGTGCAGACTGGGATGGGAAAAGATGAAGCAAAACCCAGATTGATTCCAGTTGTCCTGCACTATGTTCCACCAGCATACTGAAACTATTGGTGTGCCCTCTAGAGAGCAACTGTGTTGATATTATGTTGTTTCTTAGGAACACATTGATCCTTGGATTCTCTGAGAATAAATTAAATACTTTTGGTGTATCCATCTTCTTCTCTAGACAGTGACATATCCCTCAGATCTACACAGAGCCCCCTCCCTCTACATTCCCTTCAACACCACCCAGCTCACTATGGCATTCTGCACATTCACCTCATTAAGGGAAAATATTGTCCATTGTCACATATGGCTGGCATCTGGATACACCAAACGAGGTAAGGTGAACTGAGAGTTTATGCTCTCATTCCTCAGCAAAAATAAGTTGATAACATAAGGTGCTGTGTTTATGTCTCCGAGCTTTAAGTGAAGAGGAAAATAGGCATCTGGGCTGTTTTTAATTTGTAGCACTAGGCTTGCTGGATTAACATAACAAGACAGATCAAGGCTGACAAGTTAAAGCAACTTCATCCTAACGTTTTATTTGAACATCAAGGGAAATGGTGAGTTGCAGAAGAATTGAGATTGGAGATAAACATACAGATGAAGTCACGCAACAAGCATACTTGTTTCAATACCCGCTGATGGACTTTTAAATAGTGGGAATTTCTGTACATGCATCTAGATTTATTTATTTTTTCATTTCCTGACAGACCAGGAAGTGGTGATGGTGGGAACTGTGAGGTAGAGACTAAGATTTGGACCCGTCCTTTTTCTTCTGGAATTTCCTGAACTGAGACTGTATCGCCACTGCAGCTTTCTCTGTCTCTGGTGCATCCATGTCTATATCAAAGTCCTCTGGAACTTTCTTTTGCTCATCTGTGCCGAAACAAAAAACAAATAAAGGTCACCACAACTTGACACACATTTCAGACAGAAGAAACAGGAGGTTTAGAAGAAACAGGAGGTGTAGAAGATTTATTTTGTTTTTAAATGAGAAGTGTTCTTAGGAAAATCTTCGATTTTCATTGTATAATCTTCCTGCACAATTCAATCTAATGGCAAATTAACTGATAAGACATTCAGGTATTCCTCCTTAGGCACATTTTCAACTTCTTTGACACTTTAATTATTTTTTTAAAAAAGCACATTAACCAAAATTTATCACATCAACCAAAACCCTCTACTAGTATATACTATATATTTCTGGTCTACATTCTCAGTATATGTTCCAATATCCTTAACGTGACTCTGCTTATAAGTAATACGTGCAGTATAATCCTATGCATGTTTACGTAGAAGTAGTCCCAATGAGTTCAACTGATTTTACTCTTATGTAAAAGTGCATAGGATTGGTTTACAATTGTAATCCCTGACAATAGTTGCGTACAGTGGTACCTTGGGTTACAGACGCTTCAGGTTACAGACTCCACTAACCCAGAAATAGTACCCCGGGTTAAGAACTTTGCTTCAGGATAAGAACAGAAATTGTGCTCCGGCGGCGCAGCGGCAGCGGGAGGCCCCATTAGCTAAAGTAGTGCTTCAGGTTAAGAACGGACCTCCAGAATGAATCAAGTTCTTAACCCAAGGTACCACTGTACATGTGTATATGGTGATGGTAGTGGGAAGAGTTACACAATTCAGATTTACACAGCACACTCCCAGGTATTCTTTGGGACGGAATTCCACAAGCAAACATTTAGGGCAATAAAGCAACACTCTGGACATGTTACTGAAATTGCAGCATGTGTTTAATGGATGGATGCTGCTGTTGTGCAAAAAGCCCCTTGACCAGCATGAACACAGCAGCAAAGCTCATTTTTCCTCCAAACCTGTCTAAAGTAGACATTTCAAGGAGACACATTTAATCAGCTCTGGGGTTGACAATACAACCTTTCACAGCTTGTTGAATGGTTTCCCCCCATTCTTATGTACAGTGCCAAATAGTGCCAGTCTATTTGCTCAAAATGCTTCTAGGCTGCCATTAAGGGTAAAGGGATGCTTCTCAATGTAGTTTTATAATAATCTAAAATATAATAAAATAAAATATTTAATAAAACATAAAGCCTTAAAAATAACAAACATCCAACACACACACACAACTACTAAAATGCATTACACAACTACAGCAAAGCCCATTCGCAGGAGAACAAAACAACTCCAGAGAAAACAGGCAGAACCTAAGTAGGTCTTTAGAGCTTTCCTAAACACCTAAAATTCTGAATTGACAATGGTGGTTTCTATCTTTTGGGGCTGGCAGTGTGGGCGGCAGGGAGACCAACAATAGGTGGAGCCAGAGCCAATGACAGACACATTCTTTTTTTTTGTCCATATCCTCCTCCCTCCTGCCTTCTTCAAGGGCAACGCTAAACTGGCAGGCAGTGCCACCCCATGGAATGGCTGTAAGGAGAAATCAGACAGGTGGAAGTTGACTGAGGGCAAACTAAGGTGAGTGGGCCAATTTACTACTCACCCTAATGGACCAGCCTCCTCTCTCTCTCTCTCTCTCTCTCTCTGTGTGTGTGTGTGTGTGTGAGAGAGAGAGAGAGAGAGAGAGAGAGAGAGAGTATTTTCAGTTAGCATCTTCACTGCCGATTGATCTGCTCATTAAACTCTTAATTCTAGCTTGTGCTGTAATCCAAACTGTAACTTTCTCCCTACTCAGCCTCCAGACCAATCTAGCCATTTTACTGCCACAATTATTTCTCATATGTTTTGCTTGCCCAAATTTGACACACAAAAACTATTCTCTAAGGGCAAATAAAAACTATCTGATTCTGCCAAACTATATCCTGACACAAATTTTTATGTTTGCTCCTAAGGTCCAAGGAAATAAAGGTTTCATCATGCAGGTGAAAAGAAACCATTGTGCATGTCTGAGAAGGCAGTACCATAAAAAATGTATCTTCTTTAGGAAACAAACCTCTTATTTATTCATGCAATAATAACAACATATTTAGAGCTGCTGAAGCAAACTAAAGTGTAGATCATAGCCAAATCAGTTGGCATCATTTCATCACCCCAGCACCCTATTTCAAATGATATAACTGTGGAAGTAAATGAGCTATTCGGTCTAGCTGCAGACCAAATATATTTGCTTTATAATGTGTTTCTGTACAGCACAATCAATAAAAAGGGGATGGATGGATGGCGAGCAAACTCCTGAGATATGCAGTGCGAGTGTAATTACTCATGACCAAGCCTTCAGCTAATTTCTTGATTTACTCTTTAAGCTGGAGCTCAAATGAATGATGGCAATATTGGTAAATGAAAAGCATTCACCATTCCTCTCTAGAGTCATGAATACAAAATAATCTGTGCTTTTATGTGTGCCTGTGTTTAAGCGAGCTTTCCAAAGGTTTGTTTTAGAGAAACAAACATTGGAGGGATGAAATTACACTACTAGATCATTTGTCCTACTCAAATTTCAATTTACTATAACTGAAGGATAGAATTACAGTAACTGGTCTGGATTGGTTCAAAAACTTGTGTAAGACAATACAGTCCTTTGAGCAATAAAGATTATTTGCCATCTTTTGTCCCATACATTGTCCGACATGGCACTGTCCATGTACACAAGGTGGAGCTCCTTTGGCTAGACAGATGCATGAGATTCATCATACATTGTGACTGATACCTTAGACTTGTGCTTCAGCCATGATGTTTTTGTCTTCTTCATGTTCTTCACCAAAGTTCCAGTGCCAATTTTCATAGCTGCTGCACATAGAATCCCTCTCCTCCATCTATAAATAAGCCTCTACAGGTGAATTTGGGATGTGATCTAGCCAGTCAAGCACTTGTCTTATGTCCCATTGATTTCAATGAGAGAAACTTGAGAACTTGATCTGCTGACTAGGACATATGCAAGAAGTGCTCAAGACTTTACGCTTTTAATTTGACTGAGCAGCTCTCCCACTGAAATCAACAGGACATTGTAGCCTGTGCTTGGGTCTGAGCCTGTAATTCTTTTTAAGAGACCTTTTCAGCCTCATAGATAGATAGTCAGATCTCCCAGTAGAGGAAAACACGTGTAGTTATTTGCATGAGCTCTTTGGAAACATAATAGGGAAAGGAATGTATTCCTTACATTGCTAAAGTGAACGGCTTACTTCTCTCATGATATTAATCACCAGGACATTTAGGAACCACATAGAAATCTTCAAGGAAATGCTCCAGTCAAGGAAATGATGAAATTCGATTGAGCATTCATTTATTTCTGTGGGCTCCATGCTTTCAAAACGTTTGTAACCTATGGCTGCAATCCTACATACACTTATGCATGAGTAAGTCCCACCAAACACTGCAGGCATGTGCAGGATTGCACATTTAGTGATGTAGCATCCATGTTACCCAGAGGGCTGCAAAGACTGCTAAGGTCCAATGTGACAATGGCCCTAGAAACTTGATCTACTCCCTAGGACTTGGGCCAGAAGACTCAGTAAATGTACCAGTTGGACTTTGCTCAAAGCTTTTAATGTGACCAAGCAATTTCCCTAAAGGAGTTGGTGACCAGAGCGTATTCATATTATCCATTAGCATCAAGTAGAATGATTCGATATAACTACCAAAAAAGGGAAAGAATAGAACTTCCTTCTATTAAGCTGCAAATTACACTTTGATCAAGGAGACAACTGCTGTTAGTCAATCTAAATCCCCTTTTGCTTGGCCTTACTTGGGCAGTGCTGTATTCTTATCTCATGTGCAGAATTAAATTTTGATAAATGTACAGTAGGACGGTTGCTCTTTTCTGAGATTTAGAATGTTATTTCAGTTCAACCCTTTGAAGTATCTGGCTAATCTTTTCTTCCCAGTTGTAATAATGAGAGAGCAGGGATTATATATATACACACACATACCAGTGAATAATATAAGCATAAAAATGAGAAATAAAAGTAGTCATGAAATCAATGTATAATATTACATTTTAAAACAGTCTACAGCCCAATAGAGGCATAATGATCCCCATCCCTAAACAATTGACATGGTGAAAAATGTTTAGCTTTTTAAATGCTAATTCAGAGCTGCTCAACCGGGAATTTATTGCTTCTCTGCAATGACATTAGAAATTTTAACATGGCCAGAATAATAGGCCTGCATCTTACCATTGCTGTATGTCATTATCACAGAGTCAGCATGAGTGTGAGAGAAAGAAAGAAAAACACTAACAGTCCAATTCCAATGTCCCTCCACTAAAATACAACTGCATGGGTTGAATTGAAAAGATCCTAGGATCTACACAAGGACATATTACATAAGGAACTAACACAGACTGGCATTTCGTTAAGACAGATGCCCTACGTTCAAGGAATTGAAAGCAAACACATCACTCAAGAAACTTAGAGGACTGGAGCACAGTATTTGCCTAAAGGAAAGTGTAAGCTGAAAGTCCCATTTGTACACAATTTGCAGGACAGAGGAGAGTTGCATGATGCTCTGACTCCATCTTCAACAGATGATGATGACAATTTGAGAGGATTATTGTGTACCCAGGTAATTCAATTAGCTGCTAATGAAACACTTTGTATCTTCATATCTTATTTGACTGTAATCCCCTGTGGATGGCACCAGCCACAAGTGATATAATTTAACCCTCAATGAGATCTTTAAACAGGGGTAATTAAACATGTAATTATATATTATCTAGACAATTACCAGCAGAGAATGGCAGATATGCCATTTCTTTGGTTTTTCATTATACAGGGCCTTAAACGTTGAAGCCTGGCTTGATATCATAAGGAGGCAGTCCATCAAGATCTGATCCTGCTAAAGACCTTTTGAAATGAATGGTCATAGTGTAGAAGTATAAGACTGGACTCTACAAAGCATTTACATTGGAGCGAGCAAACAAACAAAACAAAACACAATATTATATTATATTA